AGAATGTCAGAGTCAAGGTACTGTTAAGAATATTGACCTTTGCTGTTGTTACTGTTTTGTAGTTTTTGCATATTGATTATCTAATTATTATTAGCCAATCTCAAAAAAAAAAGATTTAAAAGAACTTAGTAGAGGTATTCTGGAATAAATTAGACTGAAAGTATTATAAACTTCAATAATAAAGATCACATTGTTATCACGTTTATTGTTATTATGTCTTCAATACTCTCAGTACATGGAAGTTCTTTCTAAGCTTTCTCTGATTTGTAATTACATCTAAAATATTTTATTCTGGGTCTGTAATGTATTTATACTATAGGTCGGCAGCAGCCTGATACTGTCGTCATGACAGGCGCTGGAAATTTGAAATGTAATAAGATACTTCATATGATATCACCATACACAAAATTAGAAGATAGTGTTATTAAGATGTTGAAATTTGCTGAGAAACACAAACTGAAATCGATTGCCATGCCTGCAGTTGGAGCAGGTAAGGATGACAAATGCTTTAATATTGTGTGCGCTGCCTGTGCTTTGTAGAACAGCTAGATTTTTTGTTTTCAGTTCAATATTCTGTTATCATTCAGCACTTTTTCTTTGTGTCAGGAGCTCCCCAAAACGTTGCTCGTGAAATCCTGAATGCTATTGGTGAATTTGTACAGCAATGCGACCCGCAATTCCTGGAGGTCATTCGGATTACAATATTCCAGTCATCGCGTGTTGCAATATTCAACAAGGAAATGAAGAGTATGGTTGACATCCCTATGAAAGACACCAGAGGGGTATTTGGAAAAGCATGGGGTGAGTATTTCATACTATCATTTTAACTAACTATTCTTCCTTGTTTTTGAACATGAAAAAGGAAATTATATATTAAACCTTAATATCCATATTGTTTTAGATCCACTTTGGTAGACCAAAATATTTGTCCACTATCTAACTAACATATTATTGCCTATTAGAGTCATATAATAAATTTCCCCACAATTTCGATATTTAATTGCTGTCAAATTGAGATCAAATAAAAAAAACGTACTTACAATTAATCCCCAATTTAAACTATGCCCAAGTCAAATCTAAAATAGATTATAATTGTATATTATTGCATATTCGAGTACCAACATAATACAAGTTAAGTCAAATAAAAAATGACCCTTAATGCTTATTTGAATCATTTATACACATACATCCAATCTTTAGTTGAAATAACAGATAAATTACAAAACTAAATTGTCACAAACTGTCTGCTGTTGCTAATGTCTAATAACAAAATTTAGTTATTTAAAGCGCGGTGGTCGTCGCGCTGCGCATGTGCGACATTTGTGTTGATAAAAATTGATTTTCCCACAAGCCAATGCGCTCTTCTAATGGAAATCACAAGTATGAGGTTTGACCTGGGCACGACTTGCACTAATTACCGCCGGTGACTCCTTCAATACCTTCCAATCACCTAAAAATACCTAATTCAAGCTTGGTAACGTTCATGTTGTACTCGTTGATTTGCGCAACAGTCAAAGTCTCCATCTTTGTTTATATGAGACTCGTATATCTCCCGCATGCGTGGCGCGACGACTACCGCGCTTTAAATTTTTTTATTAGACATTAGCAACAGCAGGCAGTTGGTGACAATTTAGTTTTGTAATTTTTCTGTTATTTCAACTAAAGATTGGATGTAAGATTTTTCTACTGGACAAAATGATGAGGTTTTTGTTTAACAACATACTAGACTACATCGTACCGTCAAAGACATTGCCTGTAAAATATATTCGGGTGTAATTCTAAATATATGTTAACTATCCACTAATCTACTTGCAACACAGGAGCAATAAAATCCCTTGTTGGAGGATCTGATAATTCTACCAGAGTCAAGATGATTGATACCATTATTCTACACATATATGCTGATAGAAAGAACATTATCGATGACGCTATTACCAAAATCAATCAACTAATGGAA